GGGATGAAGGGGGGCTGGGATTCAGGAGAAACTGGCCCCCGCCTGCCCGTGCTATCTCGCTGCCCGCACCCACAGGGGAGGGGTCTCCCAAAGGGCCTGGCTGCTCCCAGCCTGGAGGCCCAGAGCCCTGCACAGCCCCCCGTGTCCCCTTGCCCAGCGTGCCAGGAGCAGCAGTGACAGCAAAAGGCCAGAATGTCAGGCCTGGGGCGGGGGGAGCACCCAGGGGGGCCCAGGCTGATCTGCACACAACAGGGCTAATCCCCCGGGGCAGGTCACTGAGGGCTGGGGCAGGCCGGGCTGCTCGGAGGCCAGGGCCGCATAGCCAGGGCCGGGGAGGGGGCCTAGAGCCAGGTGAGCCAGCAGCCCCCCAGGGACAGGGGGCACAAAGGACCTGCTCCCAGTGCAGCCCGGGGGGGGTTCAGCGTGAGGACTAGACATGCTGGGCCAGGCCTCACCTGGCATCTCCCAGCCCCGGGCAGAGCAGAGGGATCCCACTGGGCAGGAGCATGAGACCCCCGGGCGGTCCCCTGCCCTGGGCAGACCCTGCCCAGCACAATGCGAGGTCAGCATGGGAATCCTACGGGGGCTCAGTCTGCACCTGGCTGGATCCTCCCAGCTCCAGCAGAGGGGGCGGCTGCTCAGCTCCGCGGAGGGTGGGATCAGACAGCGGGAACGGGGACGCAGCTACATCCCAGGCCCCGCTGAGACCGCAGGGCCCCCTACCCTGTACTGGGATGTGGCTCACAGCACCAGCACAAGGGCTGCAGTGGGTCAGCCAGGCTGGCAACAAGGATCAGGCTGCAGAGGGCCAGCCTGTGGGGAGCGTGAGTGCAGGGGGCTCAAAGTCAGGGCAAGTCAGTGCCAGCTGCAGGGAAATCACTCTGGGGAGGAGCGGCTGAGTCACACAGTGCCAGAACTCCCCCTGCTGCCAACCCAGCCGCCGTGCAGCTGCCTAGCCCCCGGCTGGCAGTGCTTGGAAGTGCTCACAACTCCATTGACCGGGGCTGCTAATTCCACAGCTGGCCAAACCAGCCAATCAGCTGCCAAGCCAGGGGCCTGGCTTGTGACTCTGTGGGGCCCTGGCTGGCACATGTCAGGTACGGGGGCCCTTATGGCAGGGAGGAGACAGCAGGGGTTTGCACCCAGACAACATAAAATCCCCTGGCAGGGCAGAGCCCAGCCTGGTACGCTGGTGCCCAGGGCAGGTGGTCACGGCCATGGCCAAGGCTGCAGGGGAACAAAAATTAAGTTCTTCCTTTCGGAGGTGGTAATTGAGCAGGTGGAGACAAGCGGTTAGTGCACAGGGCCAGGCGCCCGGACGCCTGGGTTCTAGTCCTAGCTCTGCTACTGGTGCGGATACGCGAACAAGAACGAACCCAGATTGACTCTCAGCTCCCCGGCTTGCGACCAGCCCATGAACGGTGCTGTCAGGGCAGCCCCCCGCCGTAACCTGGGAGTACCCGGCTGCTCAACCCTCTCGCTGCAGGGCAGCAGGGCTCGGAAACCGTCTGAGCAAGCACCTTCTCCCTGGCAGGGGCCAGCGGGGCGGACAGCATGTGCTCTGCCCCCTCGTGCCGCTGGCCCGGCCCATCTGTAAGCACGCCATGCGCCCTGAATACAGCAGGCACCGGCAGCTCCGCAGAACTCGTCTTGCTGGGCTCGCTCGTCTCTGCCTGGCAGCTGGCCGAGATCCAATTAGGTTAGCCCTGCAGGGGACTGAAAAGACCCAGAGACCCAGATCTGTCAGCTCTGACTCCGTCCCACGCGCAGCGGAGAAGGGAGCGAAGGCAGCGGGGTGGATAATTACATCAGACAGAACTCAGCGCAGCCTGCCCACCATTAACCTTTCCAAAGCCCGGCCTGCTGCCCCCTGCCAGCGACACGGCCCCGGTGCCGACAGCAGCCAGCGTGGCCACGGGCTGTTGCCTCCTGCCACTGGCTCTCCTCTGCCCAGGGCCGGCCCTGCCGGGCACTGTGCGAGGCTGCCCACGAAGGCAAGGTCATGGTAGCACAAAGCTCCCACGCTGCCGCCAGAAAGGGGCAGTCAGGGCTTGGCTCGGGGGCACCCAGGGCCAGCTGCTGCGTTCGAGGTGAGGTGCAGGATGAAAGCGCGTGTGCGCCCGTGGGGGGGTGTTAGTTTGAGGCCACTGGGACTCTGGTGCCAGGGCAGCAGATAACACCTCACTCCGACCAGGCTCGCTTTGTTCTCCGAGTTGAGCTGGTGCTCAGGGGAGGAAGCCAAGCCCTGGATGGGTCAGGCTTCGTCTGGCAGGTGCTGAGCAATCACTCCACTCAAGTGTCCCTGCCCTGCCAGCACAGGCCCTCAGCACCCCCGCCCCGGGAGTACCAAAGGGCACCACGCTGCATGGCAGGCTGGGGAAATGGTGTGAGCGGCGAAGGATTCGAACCCAGGTCTGCAGAGGGCAAAGGCCGCCATCCCGCCCCTTTAGAGCCATCGCTTTTCTTCCCTCCCCCAGCTTGCTGCGGGAGGGGCAGCAGTACCATGCTGGAGCGTGCTGCAGGGCGCCAGGTCCCAGCGAAAGGCTGCTCGTGGTGAGTCAACACAAGCACTGCTCGCGGCCCGCACAGGGCACGATGCTCAGCCCGCGTGCTGGGGAACTGCCCCCTGGCCTCTGCTGCCAGCACAGCACAGCGTGGGGCAAGGCGCTTCGGAGGCAGCTTTAACCAGGGAGAGAGCTCGGCTGCGACGGAAAGGAAAAGAGACGGGCACAAGCTGAGCGGCAAAGGGTCGTTTTCAATGGCACACGACAGATTTACAAACACTGGGACGTGCTGGCTTGCCACAGCACGGCGAGCAGGACGAACCTGCCCCACGGAGACACGCGGCAGAGCCTTTTTAGAAATGAAAAGGGGCCCCGCAGGTTGGGGGTGGGAACCCGGTGAGCCCGTCAGGCACCCTGAAAGCGAGACGCTGTAGGGAGGCATAGCCCTTTCTGGAGGAGGGGGGGAGCCAGCCGGAAAGCACCATGCGGATCATTCCCTGCGAAGATCCGAGTGCCCGGCCAGGGAGCCGGCTCCCACCGCTGTGCACAGCAAAGTCACGGCCATTGGCACGAGACAGAAGCTAAACGAGCACGTCGAGTACAACCCCAAACACGCCACCTACTCTGGCTGCCAGCCACACACAACACAGCTCAGCGACACTCCCGCCTCGGCCAGGTACTCTGTGAGGGGTGGGCAGGCGTCTGGAGCCCTGGGAACCCCCCACGCTGCTTAAAACACATCCACAACACACACACACACACAACCCCTGATCTCAGCCTCGGGCTCCCCACTCGGGGAGGGGACTTGCACTGCCTCCCCCCTCCCCAAATCCTCTCCCCAGTCCTGGCTGGGTTAACGAGCACGCCTGGCTCTGCCCAAGCGAGCGCTGCCTGGAGCCCAGCGTGGAGCGCGCTGGCCCCAGCGTCTCAGGCCGGCCCCATGCTCACAGCAGGATGAGGCTGGGGTTGCGCAGCTGCCTGTAGACGTGCAGGAGCTTTTCCGCCGTGGCACTGGCGTCGTCCCCGAGGCACAGACGGTCCCGCAGGGACTGCACGTCCTTTAGCAGCATCTGCCCGGCAGAGAGGAGAGGGGTTAGGAAGCTGGATCCGCTGCTGCCTGCCAGGCCCTGGCCCCTCCGCTCAGGCGTCCTGCAGCCACACCAGGGCCCAGCTGCAAATGTCGGGGCAAGAGAGCCCCCCAGCCTCCTGGCTAACACCCCCCAGCCCTGCTGCCTCCTGGCTGCCAGGAGCTAAGCACTCAACGGGACAACGCCGCGCTGGGCCTGGAAGCCTCTGCCAGTCTAGTGTGTCAGCCTCTGCAGGGTCTAGCTTTGCTGTCCACGAGCAAGGAGCCCCGCCTGCGTGGGCCCACGGCAGGGCTCTGGTCGGTGCCTGGGCTCGGAGTTTCACGCCCCGCAGTTCAGGAGAGGGACGTTCTGCCCCCCTCTGCGGTTACACAGACGCACTCGCCCAATGCGCAGATTACCCCCCGCCCGCTCCACGCACCACCCGGGAGCGCTGCCTACCTCGTGATTGGCTTGGATCTGGCACAGATACTGCATGCGGAGGTCAGGGGGACCGGAGCCCTGGGCCGCCTGCTCCAGCACCAGAGTCTGCTTCAGAACAGAGAACGTGGCATTAGAGGGAGCTGCTTTCATGGAGCACCCGAGGCTGCCCCAGCCAACACTTGCCGAGGGGGGGAGCCTCGCTAGGCCAGACACCTCGGGCATGGCTACGGCACTGGCCTGATACTGCTCCTGCTCCGGCACCTGTCTTGTTGGGACTCTGCCTGCCCAGGGCTGGCCTGCTGTTCCTAGCAGCCACTCCCAGCCTCTCAGTGCCGCACCATTTGAAACACTCCCCCGCCCACCCAGCCTAGGTTTGAACGCATTGCAGCACCGACTCCCACTCCCGTTTCTGCTTCAGCCTCCAGGCTTTCCAGGCCTCAGCACTCCGCACTGACGGACCCCTCTGGCACCCTGCTCCGCCCACAGGGGCTGGGTATTTCTCATGGCCTAGACTGGCATGCAGGATCCGTGGGCACAGGACAGACCGTGGCACACTCTGCAGGTGCCCTGCTCTGCTGCAGCCACACCCTCGTTCCCCACGGTCCCCCTTAGCCGGGGCTGCACTGCTCCGCACCACGCTAGAAACTGACTGTCTGGTGCATCTTGTGCAAGGAAGCTGGCTCGCCGGGTGGCTACAGGTGCCCTGCTCCATTTAGTCACTGCCCTTAGCACGGCCCACTCTTGTTTCAGGCTGCTACAGCCTCCAATGGCTTCTAGCCTGGCCTGCGGCGATGGGGAGCGTGTTAGCCAGGGCCAGCCCAGTCACGCATTCCCGGCTAGTGCCCCGCTGATTTCAAGCTGCACTGTACAGTTCAGCCACAGGGTGGTGCCAAGGAGAGCCCATGTAAAGCAACTGCTCCAACCCAAACTGCACTGGGGCCCCTCTGAGCCCAGGGCTAAGGTAGCTCTGCCTTTGCGCACGCTCGGCCCCTACACAGCCCTGGTTCTGCTGGCTGGTCACGGCCTGCAGGCAGTGCAGTTCCTTGGCCCTACAGCCCTGGCAGGAGGAGCAGCTGCTGCACTGTGGGCAAGGAGAGGCCACGCACAGCAGCTTATGCAGCAATGCCAGCGGCAAGCAGCAGGCTGGAGTCCGTTCTGGGGCCACGCTGGTGGGGAAAGCGCCAGGTGTCCCATCCCAGCAGGCTTGGGGCCTGGGATTACCACGTAATAGCCGTGCAGCCACGGGAAGGACTGCTGGCTGGACAGCGCAGCGCCATTCACGCTGCCCACTAGGAGCAGCTGGAGGGAGCACATCCTGGGTGCAACCAGCACAGGCAAGGAAGGGTAGGACGAGCCCAAGCGATGAGGGTCAGAAGCAGCAGCTCCAGAGAGCCGAAGGGCTGGGAGACGCCAAACCCCTCTGACTGGTACGACCCGGGGACCCCAACTTAGCTCAGAACCAGGCCAATGGAGTGACAGAGGCAAAGCTCACTCCCAGCTAAATGACCCCCAAAATAAAGGCGGCTCAAACAACCCCCAGTGCAGGCTGCAATAGGGGCGGCTCCTAGCTGCTGCAAGCATAAGCCCTCTCTGTCTGGGGCGTGGGATCGGCACCTGGATGCGCCGGATCACGGCTTGATGCACTCTGCACATCTCTGCCAGAGAAGGGCTCTGGATCAGGATCTCCACGGCCTGGATAGGGCCCGCTGGGCAGAGATTGTTCACGGCCACCTGCAAGAGAGAGGAGATCCTCACTGCAAACATTGCCAAGCCAGAGGGGTTGTCTGCGCAGAGGGCGGGGGCAGACCCCGGGGGTACCCCCTCGGCCATACAGCACAGCTGTGTATGGAGGGTTAGATGCGGATCCCAACAGCCAGAGAGATCTGTGCTCTAGAGGCAGCAGCATGGGGCATTCGTTCCTTGCCCCTCCCCGTCCATCGCTCATCTGCACTAGGAACACCTCCAGGCTCGCGGCAGCAGAAGAGGGGGACGATTCCCCCAGCCAGGCTGCCCTGGCCCAACCAACAACCTTAGAAGTAAAAGGTCATTTGGTCTCCTGAACCGAGACTACACCGGGGCCTAGATCAGTGCAGACTCATGGCATTTGCCTGGAAGCAGCGTGGAGCCCAGCAGTGGCAGTACTGCAGGAGGACAGCAAGCTCCAGCCTTGCCCGGCAGTGTACTGAGGATTCGATGGCCATTCCCCAACGGATTTAATCCGGGAGGCTTAGCCTGAGCAGAATTAACGCTGGCACTAATCACATTGGCAATATTAACGCTCTCATGCATGAAGCAACCTGAACCAGGTCATTGCCAGCATACGGCCAGCTGGGGCTCTCTCGCCGGAGGGTTAACCGGCCGTGGCAGGAGAGCCGGTTCGCAATTAGTCTTTTTCTTTTGCACTTAGAGAGGGATTTTCGCATTAAGGGAAAAGCCGAAGCAGATCAGACCTAAACCAGCATCCAGCCACATTTCCCCTCACTTTGCAGAATTAGCAAAACACAGCGAGCCGGATGAGCAGCTAAAACCAGAGCTTTGCTGCTTCCCAGCCCCATGGATCCGGCAGCCAAGTCGTGATGCCGAATCAGGGCCGTCACTGCCAAGTGACGGCAACTCAGCAGGGCCGGGAAGGAGCAGCTGGGCTGAGCAGGAGAGAAGTCCTTATTCACACCAGTATTGGCAAGAGCAGCCAGACTGGGGAGGGGAAGCGCTGGGGGAGGCATTGAGAAGCAGCCCTCCCAGAGCCGCTGGCTCCGTTCACATTCTAGCTCGGTGCCTGGCGTCTGAACTCCTCAGACACAAAGGGACGTAGCCTCGGACCAGGCTGGGAGCGATCGTCAGCCCCACAGGCAGAAAGGAGGTTGTGGATTTTAAGGCATCGCACTGGGGCCTGGACAGTGCCCTGCTCTGCCATGCACCTGCGTAAGCTTGGCCAAGGCGCCCACCTACCTGGCAGGGCTGGGCAGCGCTGGCACCACAGGGACGAGGGCCAGATAAGGCCACTGGCAGATTTGACGCATGGCTGAACAGACGCAGAGAGAGCAGGGCCGGGTCAATCCCGTGGACAAGGGGCTGTGTCCCCTTCGGGTCTGAGAAGTGAGGAACTCAGCTGACCCGTGGCCACCCCCCAGTCCCATAGGCAGCAGGGGGACAGCACAAGCCTTTGAAGAACCCGGGGGGCAAAGGAGGGGGAAACAGCCAGGTGGGCTTTCAACCATTAGCACGCCAGATCCCCAAACCCGGCAATGCAGCCAGGTCCATGCGGCTTTTCACTGACCCCCCCGGAGTGCAGCCCCTTGACGCCCATGGGCTTGGGCACCCAGTCCCAGGGGACGTTACAAAGGGGGTAGCATGGCGTTTGTGAGAAGGGGTCAGCGCTGGGGAGCTGAGCCTGGGCTTTGACCCTTCCTTCCCTCCCCACCGCAGTGATTCCCTCTGGGCCTCCACAGGCAGAGCCCGGCCCCCAGCTTGCCATTGCTGGTCCCTTGCCCCAGGACGCTGGGGCAGAAGCCGGCTCTTCAGGGGGATGGGTCGGGGGCTGTTTCCCTGCAGAGCTAACCCATTCCTTGCCTCTCGGACGAGCAGCTGCACCTCGCCTCCACGTGGGGCCAGGCCTCGCACTGCCGACACATCCTGGCTCTTCAGCGCCGCGGCCGCAGTGTTCTCCGCCAGCAGCCACTGCAGAGCAGCGCAGCAGAGCGGGGCTCCTGGGGGAAAAGGAGAGAAAGCAGAGCCGGTCAGGTGGCTGCACATGCTCCCCTTCGCAGCAGCAGCCGGGGTCTCTCCAATCACGAGCCCGGCGCCTCCCCTGCACCGCTGTCACGTTAGTGACGCTAAGCGAGCCCACTCGGAGAGGAACGCTGCCTCAGAGTGGGACTCCCCCGGGCACCCCGCCACACTCCTGTGGCACGAGGGAGGGCGGTCACACACGCCACACGACAGGTGGGGGTCAAGGCCTCCATGAAACAGCCCCCAACCAGTGCCACAGGACGCCCATAGGAGCAAAGGCGACAGCAAGTCTGGGCCCTTGCGGCCGCTCCTTTCTGTCAGAGGCAGATCCTTCCCATCCGCTCTCCCCGGGGAAGGGGATCCGCGGACACAAAGGAGCTGCTGTGAGGGCTGGTTCTGTGTGGCCCCAGGACGCTCGCTCTGTTAGACACTTCCCCTCCCGCAGCCGAGTGCTGCCCTGTGGTTATGGGTTTCCACCGCCCCGTGGGAGACCCCAAGGTCTGATTTCTCACCCTGGGCTCTTGCGCAGCACAGGGAGGGTATGCTACAGAGGCAGCGCCTCCTGGGGAGAGGAGAAGAGGGAGGGGACTGTGGTGCCAGCGTGCCAGCCACAGGAGTATGGTGGGGTTAACTCCACCCCAGGCCGATATTCATTTTTCTGAGATCAGCATTCGGCTCTGGCTAACGGCGCCACCGGAGCGAATGCTCCACGAACTGGTACGACGGACGGACCCTGCTCAGGAAGCCAGAGGGAGAGGCGCGTTGGCAAAGCTGTGCAGGCGAGGTCTGCATCACACCTGGACACACACTGTGCAGTTCCTTCACCCTCACCCATGTTGAAACCCACTCCATTCGGACACAGCTCTAGCTTACTCCAATGGTGCCCCCCGACCCCACCTCGCACAGCCACTTTGAGAGACTAATACAAAGGAGAGGGTGAGTCCTGGCATTGCCAACAGCCCAGCAGGAGACAGGCTGCCTGCTCTTCCCCAGGCAGAGGGGTGGCGATCCCACGGACTGGCCAAGAAGAGATGCCACCCCACTACAGCAGGCCTGGATGGGCTCCAGTAGGGGCAGCAGGAATGGAATTCCAGCCCCTGGTTTCTGGACTGGTGGGGCTAGTCCCTGTCCAGGGGTGTCTGTCGGGACTGACCACGTTCCTAGCCCTAGCCTCACAGCTCGGAGCGGCAGACATGGGCCAAGAGCGTTTACACACACACACTCCTTGGCCCAGTATGTGGCTGTGGCTCCTTCTGCCCAGAGAGGCCAGTCCCCACACGAAGGTTAGACCCCGA